GTAAGTCAGAAACCAGAACCCTTCCCTACCCCCCCCCACCCCCCCGCCCCGCAAAGCTAGCCATGAAACCTAAAAATATCACTTTAATTTTTCCCTGTTTTTCTTTCTTGGAGCTGACCATAAGGAAATTTTCTAGCCTCCCTTATCTAATAGTAGATCATAAGACCTTCATTTCAGAAAGGACCCTGCCCTATAGGCAGCAGGAAGGAATGTCAGACAGGCCTTGCTGACTGTCCTTGCAGTCCACTAGCATTTGATCATGATCTTTGGGTCTAATCACATTTCTGCATGGTTGTCTGTGCTTTGTCAAACCTAAGCATAAAAATGGATAGTTCATCCTGGGGCTTGAGGCTTGGGCTTTCATGTCACAAAACTACCATCAAGTCAGACCACTTGGTGATACACACGTATAATCTCAGCTATTCAGGAGGCTGAGGGAAGACCATCGCCAGTTGGAAGCCAGCCTGTGTAACTTAGATACTGCTTCAAATTTTTTTAAAAAGGAAAGAAAAGAAAGAGGGACATAGCATATCTAGCATGCACAAGGCCCTGGGTTCAATCCCCAGTTCTAGCAAGTGTGGGGGTAGGGGGAGACACAAATGAACTTCTTAGGTTTTTCTCTCACTAACCTGCCCTTTTTTTTGGCGGGGGGAGGTATAGGAGTGTTGACCACTCTTTACGGTGGGCAGAAGAGGGATTACTCCCTTTTCTGCTCCTATATAGGACTATGGTCTATAAGGTCACCAAGGGTAATTAATTGTTCAGTGCATATCTGTCTGTGCAGCTATATGTGACAACTCTGAGAGTTATTCCTTTAATGCTGCCCCAAGACAGACCTCACCTCATATAAATCCCCCTAGCAACACAGACATATACACACACCCCAAGACTTCACCTCATCCTCTGGGGAATTTTCTGGTATCCATCAAAACTTTACTCTTAATATTATTCCCTCTCTTCTCTCCTGGTCTGGATCCTTATCATAATTCCAAAGGAGAGGAGAAGGTAGACAGAAAAACAGAACGTTAGTATGCTTAATGTCATGACTATCATAGCCAAAGTTCTTTTGCATCAAAAAAACAGAACTGTGCTTCGAATTACTCGAAGCCAAATGTGCAGAGACTCTGTCAGTTGGGGTTCCTGGATGCTAGCTACAGCAACCCCACCTGGGCATCAGAAGCAGGAAAAGATTTCAAGGGAGCTTTGGAGGCTTTGGCTTGGGAAATAGATGGGACTTGAGCAGCAGAAGCCACAGCTGTGATTCTTTGATCTTCAGCAGTAAAAGGTTGTTTTTTTGCTGCCATTGCAACTACAACATCTGACTTCCTAAAGCTCCACAAGGACTTAGTCCTAGGACAGAACATCCCACTGGCTTAGCCTGGGTAAATGTGCACAGTGACAGGGAAAGGAAGGTCCTGGCTCTGCAGCTTCCAGCCATGGTTATCTCCCAACACCATTCATAAGGGGGTGGGAAGAGGGGAAATGGCAATCACCACAAGGACCATCTTAGTACTCATAGGGAGTGACATGAATAGTGGGACTCAGGAACAACATCCAGAGGGTCTCTGCCTCTTGTTTTCCCACCTCATTCCCTAGTCTTGATCTCTCTTTCTTTGCAGAGAGATCTCTATTTCTCCATGCACCTGGCCATTTCTGAGCCTCCCTTTCTATTTGTGGAGCTCTAGTCACACACAGGCTAGTTAGTGTCTCTTGGTCCCAAATTCCAAACTCTTGGGAGAGATAATCTGATTGGTTAAGCTTGAGTAGTCTCAGAGAAAGTGATCCTTTTAAATAAACATGATAAACATGTCTTAAAATTTGAGGAATAAAATTTGGCTACATACTTGCTTGCTGAACTTTTATTTCTGCACAGATTAAGCTAAGCAGAAAAAGTTTGAACACAGGCTGCTGTATGAATAAAGTACAAAAGTTTAACCCATGAGGAAATTTCTTTCTTTTCAAATCACTTTAATTACACCTAGGTAGGGACTTCTTAGATCCAATTTTAGCTCTGCCATAGATCAGGTTCATGTTGCTTCATACATCTGGATAGAGCCAAACTGTACTTCTTTAAAAATAGACCATAATTTGGGCTTTCCCTACATCAACAGGGCCTCTTGCCCTTCTTCCCAGTGCAATTAAATTGTACTCCCTACGTGGAACCCTTCTCTAAAACCTTAGTATGGCAACTGCCTGCCACACACAAGACACCTATAAATGTTGATGAGTGAATGTATGTTATCAATCCACCTGTCACTTTTATCCATGACAAATTTGTTTTATCCCATCACCCAAAACCACCAAGTTCTGTAGTAAGAGATTTAATTACCTGATCTGAAGATTTTCCTTCCAGCTTGGCCTTACTTTACTCATCCTCACTTTCATGGTCTTGTTTCATGTCTCCCTCATATCTCACCTTGAATCTCTGCTGTCACCTCTAGCTCTTCATCAGAGATGTCTTCGTGTGTGTGTGTGTGTGTGTGTGCGTGTGTGTGTGTGTGTGTGTGTGTGTGTGTAAAAATCAGCATATGTTACTTTTACAAAAAGATGAGGCAAAATTGCAACAACCATGCCCCCCCTTTTGGGGAGTGTTGAACCCAGAGGCACTTTACCATTGAGCTTCCTCCACTTACACTTCCTTTTCCAAAAGGCAACTAACCAGAGGGAGTTTTGTGAGATAGATGAGATCCTGCCACTTCTCTAGATTAAATAGGCTGTAAGCAGCTCCCCACAGATCCTGCAGTTTTTCAATATAACCCTGCATCCCAACACACCTTAATTTATACTCCAAACACTGTGTTCTCTCCTCCCCAACTCCTTCCAGGACCTTGACACTGAGCACTCCCTAATTTCTCCCAGAACACTCTCTTCCTCTGCTCCCACCACAGTCTCACCCAGATAACTAATTGGCCATTGGATCCAGGGACTACATTAGGGTTCCCTGCCACCTGTTCTCATGCTCCCCAATTTTCTGAACGTAATTGCACTAACAGATGTGTACTGGGATATCATTGGCTTGATCATTCAATAAATGTCAAGTTTCTCCCACCAAAGTGGAAGCTCCTTGAGGCTGGGAACCTCACAAATTTACTAGGATTGTTAAAATGAAATGCCACAGATTGGGTGTCTTAAGTAAAAGAAATTTATTTCTCACTGTTCTGGAAACTGAAAGTCCAAGATCAAGTTGTCAGTGGATAGGAGTGGTTTCTTCTTTTTCTTTTTCTCCTTCTCCTTCTCTGATTAAATCCAGGGTCACTTTACCACTGAGCCAAATCCATAGCTCTTTTTATTTTTTATTTTATTTTGATATAGAGTCTCCCTAAGTTACTTAGAGCCTTACTAAGTTGCTGAGGCTGGACTTGAACCTACAATCCTCCTGCTTCAGCCTCCCAAGCCACTGGGATTACAAGGCATGTGCCCCCACACCTGGCTAATTGACATTTCTTCTAAGGCCGACCCTTGCTCTCTTTGACTTGCAGATGGATACCTTCTCACTGGGTCCTCATATGGCCTTTCTGTGTGTGCACATATTTCTGTTTTATCTTTGTTCAGATTTCCATTTTTTTATAAGGACACTAGTCAGACTATATTAGGGCCCACTCTAACGAACTCAATGTACCTCAATCACCCTATCTTCCATTTATTTACCTGCTTATTTATTTATTTAGTAGTCCTATCTTCCAAATATAGTCACATTCCAAGGTACCAGAAGTTGTTTGCAACATGTCTTTTGGAGGGACACAATTCAGCCCATAACAGGGACATGTCACTTCTGTTCATCATGGTTTCCACATCACTCAGAATGGTGCCTGGCTTATCCTTTCTACATACTTGTTAAATGAATGATTGAATTTCAGCACCCTGCTCTTTGCTTGCCCCAACTATTATACTAGAGACAAAGCACAGACAGATTGCTGCAGGAGGATCTAAGTAACCACAGGAAATGTGTGCTATCCTGATCTTGAATGTATGGGCCTTTAGGGGAGTGTCGCTTCCCCTGGTACTTCCAAATAGGTCTCAACCAGTCAGTAGCTGACTTTTTTTCTGCCTTGGGTGTGTCTGCTGCCCCCATGAGCTACTTGAGGAAGTTTAGTTGGCAGCTGCACACCCATCCAACAGGCCCTCTTTAGAAGGTGAGTCAGGCTGCTGGGAGAGTGGCTCTGCATAGCTCCCGGAAAGCAGTTTAGCAACAAGTACTAGCACCTAAAAAAAGTCATGTCTTGTAACTTTATAATTCTGAGACTAGGAATCCAATCTGAGGATCTAGCAAAGGATGGCACAAGATGGGTTTCTAGCCTAGTTTTAATTACTTTAAGAAAATATTTCTCACTGTTATAATAGTGAGGATCTTGGAAGAGCTTAATGAGTACAAATGGGAAAGCTTTATGAATCTAGCATATTATGTAACAGCAATTGAAAAGATTGTTTAAGAAGAATATTTAATGATCCAAGAAAAATGTTACACACAAAAGTGGAAGGCAGGGCTGGAAATGTGTGTTTGCTAGCACACAAGAGACCATGTTTGACCCCCTGCACCACATTAATAAAAAAAAAAAGTTAAACACAGATTACATATGTGTTCTGAACCCATATATTTAATAAATAATTTATATGCATGTATCCATTCAGAGGGGAAAACCTGGACTGGTTAGTATTCAAATATTAATATATTAACACATTTTAGAACCAGAGATTTTTTTGTGTTACTTTTACAACTAAGAATGAAAGCCACGTTTTTTGTTTGCTTTTTGAGCTACATCCCCAACCCTTTTCATCTTTGTTATTTTGAGGCAGTCTAACTAAATTGCTTAGGCTGACCGCGAACTTGCCATCCTCCTGCTTCAGCCTCCCGAGTCGGTGGGATCACAGGTCTGTTCCATCAGCAGAATGAAGAAAAAAAAATTTAGAAGAGAAAAAGATTTATAACACATCATGCCACGTATCAATTTCTTGGGGTACAAGGAAAGAAGCCAACATTAACTTTTAAGGTCCTAGGTACACTACTTTTCTGATCTGGGCAGTAATGTGGACATTAACTGTCCCCTCCAGTGAATCAAAACCAGAGAACTGTGGCACACCAGGACAAGTTCTGGGTCGGGATGTGACTCCAGTCTCAGCATTAAGCAAAATTTTAAGGCAGCCGTTCTGTCTGCCAATGAAATTCTAAGCTAAGGGAAAAGTGCCGGCCCTGCGCCTGCTCCCCAGCCCTACCTAGGGATCCCCTGTGGGTCCTACTCAGAGAGGTCGTGTGGCTTCTGGAGAGTTATGGAATCCGAACCGCAGGAGCTAGAGACAGGCTTGGAGCAGCGCTCCGCTGGGGGTATAAGATCAGGAGAAGGGCCGAGCATAAGTGAGAGGGATCTAGGCTACGCCGGGCGCTGAGTCCTGGTCCAGTCCCAGGCCATTGCGGCCGCCGCCCTGTCCGCGGTTCACCAGTCAGGTGTAAAGTGCCTTGTCATTGGGGATGCTGGTGGCCCGAGCATTGAATTACATCTCTGTGGAGCCGACGTAGGGCTGCGGGGCTGGACAATGAATAGAAGCCCCTGCTCTAGCAACGCCCGCAGACTGGCGTTGAGCGCAGCCGGGGGCGGGGACCGAGCCTAGCCCACTGGAGAGGCTTGGGTTGGCCTGTTCCCCTTTAAGAGCAGCTGCTCTGATCCAGGAGCCAGAGATCCTGAGGCAGCCTCGCTCCGCCGGCCCTCTCCAGGGAGGGCACCCTCGAGCAGCGCCTCGGTCCGGCCCGACCGGTCCTTCCCAGCCCTCTTTGCTCCCGGGGCGCACGGGACATTAGGCGCGCCAGGCATGCTGAGGGTCTTCATCCTCTACGCCGAGAACGTCCACACCCCGGACACCGACATCAGCGATGCCTACTGCTCCGCGGTGTTTGCAGGTAGGGGGGGCCGAGCTCCCGCCAGGGCTTAGGGTGGGGTTGGGGGAGGAGACGCCAAGGCTCTGTGCCCTGGAGAGCGCCTGGAGGTGGGGGACCCTGTCCCAGCTGCCAGAGTGCGGTGGAGTGTGGCAAAAGCATGACATCCTCCAGGAGGGGCGACTCAGAGGGAAACTGAGGCTGAGAGAGGGGGAGGGAAAGAGAAAAGGAGAGAGAGATGAGAGAGAGAGAGAGAGAGAGAGAGAGAGAGAGAGAGAGAGAAAGGAGAGAGAAGGACAGAAAGAGAGAGAAGAAGGAGAGAGAGAAAAGAAAAGAAGAGGAGGAGGAGGAGGAGGAGGAGGAGGAAGAGAGAGAGAGAGAGAGAGAGAGAGAGAGAGAGAGAGAGAGAGAGAGAGCGCTGAGCAGCGCTTTCTGGGGCCTGGCCCTGAAACAGCATCTCTCCTTTCACCTCTTCTGGACTCTTGAAATGTGTCTTTCCGCACTGTGGGTAGCAAAGCGCGGTGTCGCCAGGCTCCCCGGGATCCTCTCCCGGAAGGCCTGCTCTCAGACCTATTTATAACCCAGCTCTTCCAGCCCCAGGCCTGGCTTCTCTCCTCACGCCTTGCTCACTACCAGAGTCTGAGCTGAGCTGATTTGTGGCCGCTGGGGGCAGAGGCACGCCCACCTCTCCAGGAATCCTATTCTTGCTTTGGGCACAAGATGGAAGAAATAGAGCAACTGGGTACAGCTGTCGCCAGCACCAACCTTTAGGGGCTTTCTGTCTATCCCCAACCCTCCCCAGCAGACAGGTACATTGTCTGGGTGTTATCTGGTGTCCATTATCAGATTGGGGCCACCTTGAGCAATGCGGCCTGCTCCTCTACAAGATTGGGACCTCCCATAAGAAGGTCTTCATAGGGTTGTGTCTGGAGTTTTTTCCTCCAGTATATGAGGGCTCCGTCCTGTCTGCTTCCCCAGGACCTCCTCAGGGACAAGCCAGGGCTGGAATCTACACAGCTGGGTCTTTGGGATTGGTGTCATAGTGAAGGATCAGGGGGGGCTAGAGTTTAAGCCAGTCTCCTGACCCACTCTGTGGGTTCCCTTCTCAGCCTCCATCACCTGCCACGCCCCCTTCTCCCCAGAGGTCTGACTTGCAATCTACCTGCATCCCAGGCCCTAGAAATAGCATCAGGGGCTGGGGGCATGGCTCTGTGGTAGAGTGCCTGCCTAGCATGTGTGAGGCACTGGGCTCCATCCTTAGCACCACATGTAAGTAAAAATAAATAGAACAAAGGTATATGTCCATCTACAACTAAAATAATAATAATAATAATAATAATAATAATAATAATAATAATAATGTTATAGCATCAGCTGATCCCTGGGCCTTCAGCACAGACATTCCCTTTCCATTTCACCCACTCAGAGGTACACCTGTTCCTAAATGTCAGTGTACACATATTTGGTGCACAGCTTGGAGCTCATGGGACATCCCACATACTCCAAGGAGTAGAGGCCCCAAGAATGCAGACTTGTCCACCCCAGCACACACAGATGTGCTGTCTCAGGCACTCCACTGCTGGCTATGCGATTGGGGTCTTCTGACCTTGTTGGGCCAGGGTAGAGCTGGGAATTGCTGAAGGGTTCTGTGGCCTGGAAAGCAGCATGTACCAGAGAATCCTGGGGCAGGGGCTGTCCACCTGTATTTTTCCCTAACATGCTCTTTGACCTGCTCTCAAACAGTTTTCCACAGCAGCCTCCGGAAACTAGCTTTAGCAAGGTGTTTCCAGTCAGGAGGACAGTGGTGTCAGTATGTGTGTGGTAGGGAGGGGGGGTTGGTACTTCCTCTCTGCATCCTCAGTTCCGGGCAGGCCAGTGGCCCGGTTCAACTGCCTGGCTGATGGCTCCCGGCTCCATGTTGCACAACTTCAGGGGACACTATTCACACTGTAAACTCCTGGCTGAAGAGAGGGAAGATCCTCTTGCAGGGGAGAAAGACTGTTGTGCATTAAGCAGCTGCCCTCTCTTGCAGCACCCCTGCCCCATTCAGTAATCCAAGTGCAAGGCTGAATGGGAAGGGCCTCTCCACAGCTGTGCAGTGCCCAACATACACTCTCGTCCACAGCCGTCTCTCAGGGGCTTTGTCTCTAGTGTCCACTTGGCCTGAGCCACCTCCTCCCATTCAATACACCAGCCTCCTATCTCTCCCTGTGTCCCTCACCCTAGATCGAACTCTAGTATGAGAGAGGAAAGGAGAAATAATGAGGGAAGCATTTCCTAACCCCAGAAGTGCTTTACCCACAGGAAGTACTGCTGGTGTGGCTTCTCTCTGGTCATTATTTCAGCCCCCAGGGCCTGTCTGAGGAGCAGTCTCCCCTTCCTCCATCCCCATATTTATACATCCCTCCCCTGCCCCATCTCTGAAGGCTGTCCTTTGCCCTGTCTGGCTCCTCTGAGTGGGCTTCCCCTCCCTAGAGCCCAGAGCTAGCTGGAGGGAAAGCAGGTATATTGTCCATGACGATCCCCTGGGCCTGAATGAACCCTGATTTGCAGTGACCAGTGTCAACACCGGGCTGTGGGGAATACAGTCCTTCCCCTCCCCCATCCCTGGCCACATTCCACCTCCTGCATTAGCCCAGCTCCAAACCCAAGTCCAAATTTGGCCTCCTTGCCCATGCAGGCCTGCTCTCCCTCCTTCTCCAGGCCAGGGCCAGGTTAGTGAATGATTGCACAGAGGCTCTGGTCTGGGACACAAGATGAAAGCAAAACTCCCTTCTGAGAAGTAACCCTCACCAGCTGTTGGGGATCTAGCTTCCCACACTATGTTTTTGTCCTATAAAGCCCCTCCTCTGGCTACATGATTTTAACATCCCATAATGACAACTCATAGCTCCTCTGTATAAGCATAATTTTACTTCTTGCTTATAGCAGCTCTGTGAGGCTGAAGGGCAAGGATAGACTCCCCCTTTAAAGGTAAGAATTTGGCCCAGAGAAGTACAGGGGCCTAGCCTAGGTCACACAGTGACCAGAGTACCCCTGGCCTGGCAGTGCCCTTTGTTGTTCTCAACATCCATGGCTCATAGATTAGAAAGTGCTTTGGAATGCATACCACGCGCTGCCCACACCCGGAGTGCCCCGACTGAGTCAGCCAGGGAGGGCAGTGTTCTGGGTCCCCAGCATGGGACAGAGTTGAAGCAAGGGGGGTGCAGGGCTATTGGGGGGGGTGTACTGGGAGACAAAAAGTGAAGGATCCTGATTTTTAAAATAAGTCTTCCTCACAAGGAGAGGGAATGGACATTCATTATGAACAAGATGCCATGTTCCAAGACTGGTTTTTGAAAGCTCATAACAATCCTATGAAAGAGACCTGTTGAACTGATCCTGTGCTTATGAAGTGCCAGACAGTCTTCTAAGTAGAACATTTAACATGAGCTACATCATGGTCCACTTCAAATTGGTAACAGGCACTTAGATACATTTACATCAACCTCATTTCATCCCCCTAGCAAGCATATATGGTAGCAACTGTCATCACCCCCATTTCACAGATAGAAAAACAGAGGCACAAAGAGGTTAAGTAACTTGCTTGAGGTTATATGCTGCTAAGTAGTGGAGTTTGGATTCAAGCCCAAACAGTCTGGCTCCAGGGTCCTCTCTCCTGTCTTTCTTGCTCCCTGCATGTTCCTCTTTCCACATTTATTCATTGGCAGGACATGCTAGCAGGGAGGGCGCTGACACCTGTCACATATATGCTGCTTGGGCACTCTGCAAAAGGCACTGGTGTTTTGCTCAGTCCTCCCAACACCTATGTGAAGTGTAATCTTCTTGCTTTCACAGAAGCCTACATAGACTCTGAAGGGTGAATCACATGCCTCAGGTCATACTGCAAGGGCAAGGTGAACTGGGCTGGAGGCCCAGGATCATTTCCCTTCTGGGCAGGCTCTTTCCTGGCAGTCGCACAATCGTGGCTGTAGCTGAAATCAGGACGGTGTGTGCATTTTACGCTCTCAGTGGACACACAGGTGCCTGTCAATCTCCACTGGTTGCATCGTGATATCCGTGTGACACATCCTTAAATGAAAGGGAGGGGAGAGGGAAGGAAGCAGTGGGAAATCCATATTTCTGGAAGATTTTGATATTGCAAATGTGCCCTAAAGGAATCCTGTACACACCTTGGCCTTGGGATGAAATAAAGCCCCCCACAATATTAGAAGAAAGTGATCAGAGACGGCGAGCTGCTTCTTCTTCCAAC